GGGGACGAAGTGCCCTCCTAAACAGGCTTCGGGTGAGCTCAGTTTTCTAAACCGCGCGTTAAAATCACCTGCCAGCACTATAATATCAGAGTTGCGGCTCAACCGAATCAGTTCGGCGAGTTTGTCGTAAAATTCGTCCTTTTGTGAAGCGGGACTGCAGTTGGTTGGTGCATACGCAGAAATGATGAACAAACACCTTTTGTTGTTACTACTTTTCCGAACACTAACTGAACCCTGTAGTCTCATTGCGCACAGACGACTATCGACGGGTATCCAATCTAGCATAGAGGCTTCAGCTTTATCGTTTAGTACGATACCTACACCACGCTGACCCAGTGAGCGGGCTGCATCGTCTCCTGATGTGCGAAGGAAATACCTCGAGGACAGACCCGGCGCACTCAGGTGGCTTATAATACTAGGATCCTGAATTCGTGTTTCCGATACGCAACAGACATCGATTTCTAGAGACTGCATTGTACGCGCAAGACACGCCTGTTGACCCACCTGCATAAGAGTTCTCACGTTAAAAGCCCCCAGATTGAGAGGTTGACGAAGCTTCAGAATGTGCACTTTATTTACAGGAAAACTGGTTACAGTGGTATTTGGTAAAGACCTTTGGCGAGTGACGACCAAGTTGTCTGAGGGCATATTACGGGTCGGAAGAAGGGGTATAGGGATTGGGTTGGGTACGGAAGCCAAAGAGCCAAAGGTTGGAATATCTGAGCAGTAGCCCACTTATCACTACCCACTCCGCTCGATGGAATGGGTCCTGATTATCCTGCGCGACGACCGATGCAGTATGAAATTATTTTTTGTTTGTGTGTTCATTGCAGCTTTATGGACGGATACTGCTAGGGTGTCCAACCACTAAGCAGGAGAACGATTAGAGTTCGCAACCAAAACCTTTAGTTCAGACAAAAACCTAACCGCAAGGCAGCGGTTAAGGCGGATTGGAGGCCCATTAACTTGGATCAATTATTCCTCCAACACGTTTTATCGACTGAGACGCCGACTCAAATCGAACCCCCAACCTGGAGGACCAAGAGACTGGACTTTGTCTGACTTCTACCCATTGACCTTCCAGGCATGATTAGATCTTTGGTTCGTTAAAAGCCGTCCTGTGTAGCTCGTTGGGTCACAGAGGTGCACAAGCCATCACACCACGTCAAGGTGCATTCTCCTCATGATGGTCTGCGTTATTTACTAGTTTTGGTCTGTTGCACGTGTGACAGGATTGGTTATGGATAAAATTTGGAAATTCGGTTTTGGTAGCTCGACTGGGTTGATTTGATTTTCACGTATTCGCCGGGCTATGTAGTTTGTTTGCACATGTCTCGTCACCATCTAAGGTGCCATCTTCAGTGCTTGTGAACTGGTGGTAGTTTACTTCTATCCGTTAACCTACATAGATTCTTCTGTTTAATTCTTGAGTCAGTCCTATCCTCCTGCTCGGATAACAACATCGATTTGCCTCCAGATGGTACAATGTCAAGTCTGGAGTACGCAGACGAAATTTTACCGCTAACTGATGATCCAGGTAGGTTGCAAGCGTTTTTAGAGTGCCAGCAAAGGCATTTTCGGTATGCGTTTTGCATCTTCAAAATGTAAGATGTTGCTGCGGGGTTGGTCCAGCTCCCGACCTCACTTTAACAGGAAAAGTAATAGAGGCGATGAACAAAGTATGCTTCTTGGGTAGCTACTTCTCACTCGGCGGTCGCCTAACGGGTAAATTGTTAGCCTGCATACAAACGGCTCGATTGGTATTCGCCAACTTGAGACATCTAAGGCGCCTTCACGACATCCGACAGTTCATGAAGGGTCGAGCGTATGCTGAAACAGTTTGACCAATGCTACCATACGGCGCAAAGCCTGGTCATTTAGAAAACAGGATAAAGATAAACTGTTGGTGTTTGCACACCACTGTATACGCAACGTTGCACGAATCTGGTGGGGCAACCGGACGCACAATACTGAGGTCAGGCGCAGAGTTTTAGACAACTACAGTCACTCAATAGAGCGAGTGATCGAGTTTGACAGCGATGAGTAAAGTTCGCTTCACTGTATTACGCGGTAAAATGATGATGATGATGATGATGATCGACATCCATAAAATTCGTTGGTGGGTTTGTGTTACGCATGTCACCAAATAGGTCTTCACGGTGCCGAGTTTACCGAGACAGGTGATGAGGTGGCGGAAATAGTCGCGGTTGTTCAGAATGAGACCAGGCATGAGGGTATCAAACCTTAACCAGGAGGCTGAGTTTCTGTTTGGCAGCCATTAATCATGTGCTTTCGTGCTCCGGTTTCAAGTGCTGTCTTACGGCTACCTATTTGGATAAAACAGTAGGAGAACAACATTAAAGTTAAAACGCGAGCTGTGGAGATAATGGAGAATTTCTGTTGACTAAGTTTGCGAAGAAATTGAGATGCACGAACACCACTGTTTACGACACTCAAATATATCGCTCCGTGTCTGTAGCCATTGATTACAATGATCCCGAGATTCCTATCCTGGGGACCTATGTGACCGAGTCTCCTTAGTGTTGTTTTCATACCCTCGTGCCTGGTCATAGTTTAGCCACTCCTGTCTTTTCTGCATCCAGTACCTATCTCGGCAAACGTCACACGTCGTGGCAATCTATTTGGTAACGTGCGTACCGCCCCCAAACCAACAATCTATGGTGGTCGGTCACTTGCCCCAGGAGACTCGGTCGGTCTAGGCTCCTGGGATGAGGATCTCAGAATCAATAGTTAAAGACATCGAGTTATATGGTTAAGTGTCGTAAACAGTGACTCTCATTCATCCATTCATTATCCTTGCAATTCTAATCCGTATGAATACTCTGTCTTCTCTTTGAATCTGCTCCAAACATTCCAATCTCCCCCTCGGCTTTCATATCCATATCGGTAGTTATTAGAGAGCAGCCGAAACCGCCGTACCAATGTGCATGGTTAATAGTTGTACAAACTAAAACTGAATTACATTTAGATTCTGTTACATATGGTCATGACACTATCTGTCGTGGGTGCATCAGTAATTACTTTTCAAGTCTAGAATTTGATTTGTTAGCGTTGTTTTGCCATTGTTGTTTCCCGACTTCCTAATGTCGTTCCGGTGATAAAGACGTCTTCATTGTGAATTTGATGCCGTTGAACGTGTTATTAGCTATTTTGTTTGTTTTTCCTAACTCGGGTAATTTCAAGGTGACAAGTGTGTCATCTGCGCATCACTTTCGTCTTCAGCTATTGCATTGCGACTTCGGTTATGAATCCGAATATTGTTGATTCCATTAGCGTCTCTCTTAGTTCTTAGATTTCACCCTTGGATTTTAAGTACGTGTGCAAGCGTAGTCGATCACTTCAATACTTCAGTACATATCACATACCTGTATTTGCATTTAAAATTTCCGCATCAACATTTTAAGGCTTATATTTTGCTATTTTATGCCTATTTACAGCAAGAAGAATCAGCCCTCACTGAAACGACTATTCCGTCTACCATTGAGTCTGCTGGTACACTGTCGGTTGATGACACCCAGACAAAAGATTCAGGACGAACACAATCCGATCCTCAGAGCAACTCTACAGGCGGGAAGTTGAAACGAAAAGGCCAACGGAGAAAACAAAAATCTAAACCTGTACCCCCATGCCCCTCCTCTATGCCTCCGTCCAACTTATCAGTAGAGAAACAACCCGAGCTGAAAGATGCATTTGAGAGTGATACTTTTCCGGGTCATCCTGCTGAACGTGAAAATGGCTCTGACAAGAAACAACACGTGTCACCCCCGGTTTCTTGTCACTTGTTTGGGGATCAGACGAATGATCACTCCCTAAACGGATCTGATTCACCGGATCATATGGAAGCTGATTTATCAAATCGAATCAAACCTAATGTTTGTAATCATACCATTCCGGAAGGCGATGAAGATTTGTGGAATCCAGAATTACTGACTGCGACTGCCACCCATTTGGTCCGCGGGGTCGGTGATGGACTAAGTAGTTTGGCCGATGCCTTGGCCCAAGCAGTTAGTTTAGGGACTAAGGCTGATGAGGAATATCCGCAGCTGTTGGAGAGACGCAAGCAACGAGCTTTGGAAGAGAAGGCAGAGAGACAAGCGATCTCAGAAGCATGGTCTAACGTTTGGAATACCGCTTGGGGAACAAACGATGGTTGGGATGTGGATGATGTTGACCTCCCGGAATCCAGTGATAACAAACAGAAACAGTCTATGAATTTATCAGACATAACTGAAGATGTTTGTGTGCCTGAAACGTCCGACCGTGAGAACCGAGCGCAAGAATCTTCCAAGTCAGAATCTTCCGCTTTTTGGGACTGGTCCGGTGTGTCGTCTTTGGCCCAACAGATAACCTCCTCGTTCCAGACGACGGTTAGCATGCTGTTTCATTGATTTTTACTTTGCTCTTTTTTGTCCACTGGTAATTTCGAATTGAATTAGTCCTAAATGGAATGTTGTCTTCGTGTTCAGTCTGATTATTGACTTTGATCATGATGATTCAACAGGTAAATTGTGTAACAGTAGCCTTTGCCATACGGCTTTTTACAATCGTACCTGCAGATCTACATTGGACGCCGTATCTACTCTAGTGCATTTTATCAGCAAGTCATTGAACCATTCGGTCAAGTCTGTCTGTTGCGTTTTTCCTGACTATTCGTCTGCGTTTGATTCTGTTTCCCGATCATCCCTTCTTTTCAAACTTGAATCTTTTGGCACTCTAAACAAACTGCTCCCATGGTTTGCTGATCGTTTCACACAAAGGGTCCAGTGCACCAAATTAGGAAGGAAGGCATCAAAACCTCTTGTTAANTGGTGTTCTTCAAGGTACTGTTCTATCTCCATATCTTTTTTCTGCCTTTATTAGTGATCTTTCGATCCCACCCCCTGCGCACATGCAAAAGTATGCTGATGACGTTGTTTTGTGTCAGACAGTTTCATCTCCTTCGAAATTTCATTCTTTTACCGAAAACCTATCCCACATCCAACAGTTTTCTGACCAA